TGCTAGAAGGATGATGAAAATTCTCCTACCATTTTCTATAGTGATTCCAGAAGCTACAGGACCGTAGACACACATGTCTACACCCCTATCTTCCTCCCCCTCTGCCCACACACCCCTGTGCCTGACTGTCATCAGGGATAGCTCCTGAAACGCTACCGCTCCTGCTCACTGTATGGCTGGAAAAGCCAGAGGCCCGTCCTCTCCCCTCGGGGTGACAGGCCTGTATTCTGCATTGCCAGCCCAGAAACCTCGGTCTAGACTAGGCTGTTGCCAGTCCTTGAATGGTGCTTCACCGCTGTCCTTCCTCACCACTGCCCAGCTTTGAGCACAATGCCCTGGAGAAGTGGCTGTGCCAGGAGAACGACTGGTAGTAGCAGAAGCCATATATAGGACCTTTCTTAAGGGACAGGCACCTCCTTCACACTGCCCATGCCAGCGCTCACTGTCTTGGCACGTGTCAAATGTTGTGGGGCTTGCAATAACAACTGTGAGCAAAGGTAACGCTGGTCTTCAGTTTCATCCTGGCTGCTTAAAGGAGCTAAAACGTGGCTAAATCTAGTCAAATTCCTTGGACAGAACGGCACTTGAGTTAGCAGAGCTGATCCACGCGCCAGCCCCTCTGAGCAAGAGCAGCCCCTGTGTATGAGGAGCGCTGCCTCATGCTGGAGCCAGCCCAGGATTCACAGTCCTCCTTAGGGACCCCTCCACTGCCACCCTCCTCCAAGCAAGGGGTGGGCACAGGTGAGAAGTAGGTTTACCCAGGGCTCTCACTCATGGAGCCCTCTGCTTTTGTTCAGCCCTTCTCTGTTGTGCTGTTAGTACAAGCGAAAGGCCTCTTGTATCAGCGGCTCCTTATCAGCAGACGAGCTTCACAGGTCAGAACGTGAAGTTCTGCACTTGTGCTCTCAGGAGGGAGCGCAGCACGTGGGAAGATCAAGAAGATGAGCCAGCCTCTGTCTCTGCGTAAGTCCAAATGGGAGCTGAGATGGAGCGAGCGAGCGTCTTTGTCTATGAACTGGGCTCTGCGTTCTCAGATCCTGCTTCTGGAAGCAGGAATCAGGCAAAGACAGCTCTTCTCTCCCCTACTGAAAGATTCAGGATAGCGCAACGTTTTTCATACAGGTCTTACTCGTTTGGAATTAAAATATGTTCTCCAAGTATCTCACAAACAATAAGGAATGAATGCTCGCTCTGCCTTCTTGCCACACTGCCGTTCTATGTGGTTATTTCAATTTACTGAAAAAGGAGAAATAAGTAGGAACACAGAGAGGTTCACAAAA